GGGGGGAAAAAAAGGCTGGTGGAAAGGGGTGGGGGGGCCGAGTGGCAGGGCCAGGATGGGGGAAGTCGCACATATAGCCGACACACCACTAGCTCATGTTTTATTCATCGATTCGAAACAAATTCGAAGCGTGTACTCTTCGTCGCGTGCTTCCTCTTCGTCACAGATAACGTGGTCGTCCTTCTCTTATCCGAGCTTTCAGGGCTATACCTTCCCGTTCAGGGATGTATGGAAGACACATTCGTGAACACATTCGTGAAATCTCTCTTCTTTTCGCTAATTTTATTTTTCTTTCTTTCCTTTCTTCTTTTTTTCTTTTCGTTCATCTTTTAGTTTAATATTTTTCAAATAGAGGCAATTTTTATTTACATACGTCGCGTCGTGTTACGAAATTTTTATGTGTTCGTTTATTGTTTTGAAATAGGATTGTACATTTGGATTGGGTTATAATAGTAATTCTACTCGAGTTTGGTTTCGAAGGGATAAAGTTCGAAGGAGAGCATCGAAGTGAAATATAAGATGTCTCGTCAGCCAATCTTCCGTTTCGATAACTTCCGTGCTCTTGATTATTTGTATATGTAATATTTTAAAGCACGAATCGGAGTCTTCGTTTCTTTTTTAATGGCAACGAATCGAATATTTGTCGTTTTTGACTATTCTTTCTTTTTTTTTCTTTTCTTTTTCTGATCCCATTAACGAAATCTACGTCATACGGTTTCATAAGTTTGCGAAAGTTATTTGACAATTCAAAACGTTTCGAAGAAAGTTCCCGAGCGGTAAAGTGGATCAGATCCAACGTAAAAAATAATTGCGTCTGACTTAAATTCGATTCTACTGAATTGACCTACTATGTTCAATGTTGACGTATTGGTCAAGTATTTTTGCGAATTTCTTCTAAAGGACGACAGAAGATCAAGAGATTATTAAAAATCTTCAATCTATCTCAGATTTAGTTTTTATTTGGAGAAGATATTTCTTTCGTTTATTAGGAGTGACAATAATCTATCGATCATTCATTTTTCTTTATTTTTTTCATTTCCAATTTTGTGGTGTCAGAAATAATCGAAACACGATTTTGTTGGAATAAACAAATTTATTATTTTATTCAAAATTAACTATCGATGAACAATTAAACTTTTCCTTCGAATTATTTTCTCGAAATTATTTGCAGCAGGGAAAACGTGACGATTTTATTTTTCAACAGCAAAAAGAATCTTTTTCTTCTTTTTCTTCCTCGATCGAATCGACGAACATCGTTCGTCCGATCGCGTCGCAAAATTGCGCAACTTTCATTCAATGTCCCGTAGAAATAATTTCAGATTCGTGAACCGATCGATTTTCTTGGATCGGAGATAACGAAAAATGTCGATGACGAAATTTGCAGACGTAAACAACATACGATGTTTTGCATTCGAATGGAACGAAAGCAAAATTTTTCGTTCCGTGGGATCATCGATTTACGATAAAAATCATCGACGAACACGAATCTTCTCTCATCGATCGCGATCTTCCTCCTCTTTAAACTCCTCCGTCCCAATGAACAGGGAAACAGGAAGATCGAAACATTGCACTGGCAACATGGTCTCCGACCATCGCGTATATCCGATTCTACAAAAACCGTAAAAATCGTAATCGTTTCCCAAACAAATCCGAATCATGGTCGATAGAAAATGGACGGTACGAAAGACAGAACGAGACGAGAAGTCGTTCAACAACCCTCGAATGCAGCACCCTTGAATGGCCCCCCTCCCCTTCCCCCTCGATATCGGATAACGTCCGATAACGAGAGAGACGCGTGGAAGAAATGGAAAAACGAAGGAAGTTTCGGGCGAGGATGATCGGGCGTGTGGGATGGAAGAAGACGGGCCTGGGGGGCGTGGGGGGAGGAGGCATGGGCAGAGGTGCCGAATCGACAAACGTCAGGTACATCGAAATAAGAACGGAATAAAGCGGTGGTCTGGCGTGGATGGGAGCGTAGCCGGTCTCACGAGGTGCTCGTTGGACTGGAGGCGCACCACCTTGCTGCCAGAAAACCCGATGGCACCTTAAGAAGAGAAGTCAAGGGCAAGAAGCGTCCCTTCGTTGCCCGGTCTGGCCCAGCTTGGGCCCTACTTGGACCCCACTCCGCGACACGTCGTGCCCCCACCCCCTCCCCGCACATCCCCTCTGTGTATCCTCTGTGTGGAGGATCCCCTGCTCTCTCCAGCCCCTTCACCTCCTTCTGGATCTCCCTCCCTTCCCCTCCCATACCTTCTATCATCCTTCCGTTCCGCTCCCTCCACCTTTCCAGCCCTTCTTCTTCGGGCTCTCCCGTTCCACACACGAACGCCTCCAAGAGTTGGAGAGTTGGCTCTCTCGGTGCTTTCTTGAAATTCGTCTCTCTACCAGCAGTAGCAGCACCAGCAGCACCAGCAACACACCGGGTTGTGTTATATACACTTACGACAGAGTACGACAGAGAGACCAACCTCTCCTCCCCCTTTCGTCTCAACACGAATCCATATGTATGGGGTGTGTGGCGACGCAAATGTGCTGACTACATTACGCCGCTATATAAGATAGCCGACCAACCATCCTATCCCCACAGACCGAGCCAGATCGGCAGACCGTTCACAGACGGACCAACGAACCGATCTACCGATACAGACAAACGGGCACGCATCATTTTTTTTTTTTTTTTCGTTTATCGGGACCGGCCACGGATCGATCGCGAATCCACCGATAATCCATCGATCTCGTTCCACTCGTCGATCGTGATCGTTCGTGATCGTTCGTGATCATCCCGATCGCGAATCAATCAACGGGGTGACATTCTTTTTTTTTTTTTTTTTTCTTCTTTCTTTTTCCTCCACTTCTACCACCGTACCCGTTTTTTTACCACCAACTTTCCTCTCTATCTCTCTCGCTCGTCAACCGATCGACCGAGGCCAAACGCACGGCTGCGATTCCGACAACGAGCAAAAATTCTTTCCGCAATTTTTTCCGCAAATTGGCACGTGGTGAAACGAGAAACCGATCCGAAACCGAAACAGCTTTTCGTTCGTCGTCGATTTTCGGTCACAGGGAATAAAATAGCCTTCTCGCGATCCAGGGTACCCTAGGTCCGGTACCTACCGCGAAAAGGAAAAGAGAAAGAGAAAAGAAAGAGACGCCACCAATCCCATCTTTGTGAGAAATCGTAAAGTGAGTGCATCGACGAAGGGGGGCTCGTCGAGAGGAGCGTGGAAAGCATCGAAGATGATCCCTTTGACAGCCACCACGTGCTTCCTAATCGCTATCACGTTCCTGGCACTCGCCCTCATCCTGTTGGATCACCTAAGGTCCAAGAAGACGACGAAGAACGTCGTGTTGGGTGGCGACCAACACGCCCTACCGGAACCACCTGGACCCAAACCGTGGCCGATACTTGGCTCCCTTCATATCCTGGGACGCTACGACGTACCCTACAAAGCTTTCGCTGACCTTGTTAGGGACTTCGACTGCCAGGTGATCAAGCTCAGGATGGGATCCGTGCCCTGCGTGGTCGTCAATGGGCTGGAGAACATCAGAGAAGTGCTCACCGTCAAGGGACACCATTTCGATTCCAGGCCCAACTTTACCAGATATCATCTGCTCTTCGGTGGAAACAAGGAGAACTGTAAGAAAAATTTCTCTCTTTTAATTTAATTCTTTTGCTTTTTCGTCGCGAGAAAAATGACAAAAGTTTTCCAAAGGTTAAAAATAATTTAACGAACGAAGAAACGGTCGAAAAAGCGACGCGAAGGATTTTCCATCGGTTCGAATCGAAACGAAAAAAAAAAAAAAAAGTAATAATAATAAAAATAATAATAATAAAAAATAAAAATAAAAAATAATCTTCCATCGCTCGGAATTAATCGGACATCTCCTCTCGTCCCTACCTACTCGACGACTCGTTCACCATGCAAATTGCCTCGTTCGATACTTCGATACTTTTAATTATTATTCAAAAACTCTCGACGTGTCCAACGATTACGTAACTCTCGCCGTGACGAAGAAAAAAAAAGGAAAAAAAAAGAAAGAAAGAAAGAAAGAAAAAAAATCTCCTCACGAAATCTTCTCTAAACATATATATATATATATATATATTTCGAATTATTATCCTCTAATAGATAGGAACAGAGGAGAGATTATCTAGCCGTTTTTAACGTTCCGAAAGGAAGAAGAAGGGAGGAGGGAGGGGAAAAAAAAAAAAAAAAGAATTTCGATGCGCGTGAGTCAGTGTGAAAATTGAATTCGTCGACACCTTCGTCGTCACGGCTGCTGAAAACTCGTTCCCCATGCTAACGACCTTGCCATCGTACGCGACACGTGAGCCGGCCGGCCCATACAATCGCAGCCCGTTTATTTTTTCGCGTGGCTCGTGCTTTCGTTGCGATCCACGGAACGCCGAAACTCGTGCTAAGGTCAACGCCGAAGCGGTACCAAGTGCAAGCCGGAAAGGTCACGGTACCACTTTCACGCGTTCCTTGCTCACCTGGCAAACAGGATCAAGGCTGATCCACCGGAGGCGATTCCGATACCACCGAG